GAAGCTACCTTCTCTCTTTTTTATTTATTTTTTATGAATGGTTCTTCCTGATTTTAGTGAGCCGTAATGGCTTTTTCTTCCCAGCCCCTGTTTCCTGGTGCCTGGTTCCTCCATAAAGATCTTGGTGAAAACTAGCCATGCCCGGGGACTTTCCACTGGTCACCTGTGATTGGGCCCGGTGGGCATGTGTGCAAGCTGGGCCAGTCAGAGTCCTCTGTGGTCTTGAAACTGGGTCAGAGAATATGGCTGCTACTCTCTGGAAAAGAATTAAAAAGTAGATAGCTGTTGGCTGATGGTGCAAGTGGCTGTTTTTTAAGAAGCGAAAAAAGCTGTGTTTCAGTGAGTGGGAATAACAAAGTATAGGCTCAGAGAAACATGAAAGAAGTAAAGAGGGCCATATGTGTTCCCACCACACTCGAGGCCCTGATTCCTCCTGATCCTGAGGCAGGATGTTTCTACCTGTGGGGTTCCTTTTGCTTTAGCTAGCTCTGGCCAACATTACTGAGCCCAAAAGCACTTTAATATTTTTGTCTACAGAAGCTATTACAAAAGTCACACACCAGTGATTGCATCTTCCAGAAGTGCCTTTGTGTTCATGCAATTTACTCTCCCAATACTTCCCTTTTTTGTTTCTTGTTTATTTTTTAGAATAAACTTTTAAATTGAAATATAACATACACATAGCTGATGTTCATTGTTAAAAGACCCATTTGTAGTTATTTTTTAAGTCACTACTCAAAAGTACTAGGTAAATAGAAGGCAAATTAATCAATTCTCCCCCAAACATTTACTAAAAGAATTCTCAGTGCCAGTAGGTAATGGGGAAGTGGAGATGAATAGCATCCAGTCTGTATCATCCAGAACACACAACCTATAGGGGGGTGGGAAGATGGGTGTGGACAAGGCAAACAAAGTATTTGACAAATTCTAAAGTAGAGCATTTATTTGACAAATATTTATTTAGTGCCCAATACGTAACAGGCTCTGTGAAATAGTCTATGGCAGGAAGTCAGTCTCACGGACCCTAAGTGCTAATGGAAGTATCCTATATAATAAAGATCTAATATGCAAATGGCCGTCACACCCTCACGCCCTCGCGCTGGGGCCTGGGGACCTGAGGCCGAGCCAGGGGACCTGAGGCTGTGCCCCCCCGCCCTGGCGTCGGGGCCGGGGGACATGAGCCCGTGCCCCCTGCCCCAGCACCGGGCCGGGGGACCTGAGGATGTGCCCCCCCGCCCTGCAGGGCTTGACGGGGGTGAGACTGGCTGGGTCTGGGTCTCGCATGATTTCGAAGCTCGCGTGTATTGGTGAGCGGGGACTTGACTCTGGGTCCTGTGGTGCGCCCCAGACTCTGACAGGAGGGAGATTTTCATATACATTTTACAAATTTTCTTTCATCTCTGACACTTCTATTATAGAGAAAGGGCAAATAGCAATATTAAAATATTTCCTCTAATTAATTCCCTTTTAATGTGCATGAATTTTGTGCACCAGGCCACTAGTAGTATATAAAAAGAGATGTGGCCCTGAGGGGCCAGGAATGGGGAAGATGGCATTTGAGCTGGGCTTAGTATTGAGGCAGGTGGAGAAGGTGGAAAGGGGTATTTTATGGTCAGGAACCAGCATGAGCAACGTATGGGAGAGCAATGGTTCAAGAACATGGCTGGGAGCTGAGAGAAGACCTCATGACCAGAGGTAGATTATGAGTTGGGAAGCAGGGCAGTGGCAGGATATGAAGCTGGATGACACCCTGGGGCCAGATCACTAAGAGTCTTAAGTGCTATGTATGGCACAGATATTTACTGCTCACCAAATATCCATCTACTCCCCACATTTCCCAGTCTCCTTGCAGCTGGAGGGAACCATGTGGCTAGTTTTACCAATGTGTGAAAACGTGTCAGTTCAGGGCTAAAGTATAAAAAAGCAAGCTTTCCTAGGAGCTTACACATTGCCACAGTGACCAAGGAGGCTACACATTCTAAGTGGTATAGCTCCTTGATATTGACCCTTCCATTAGTCTGGGTCCGTGAGTGATTATGTGGAGCATATGTACCATGTGTTAAGCCATTAGGTTTTGGGGGTTAATTTGTTACTGCAGCATAACTTAGCCTATTCTAACTAATGCACCAAGTTGAAAATTTTGGAATTTAATCTAAAGATGGAGAGTAGCCCTCAGAAAGTTTTAATCAGATGAGTAATATGCCAAATTTGCCAGACCCTGCCATCTACATTGTCCCTATTTGCATGTAACAGCAGTGTCATTATCTACTGTCCCATCTCAGGAGGATTTGACCTTGTTCAGTTCAGCTCCCACTTTTCTTGTTCCCTTTCCCCCACCATGCCCAGAGCTTTCTTGTCACCACTCCACTGGGTCCAGGTTTTGCCCTGGGGCATATATCACCTGGAGTAATAGGGCAGGTTCACGTTGAAGGTGTATGGTATGGATGGGCATCTCTCCAGCTGGGCAGGCATCCAGTGAGTTACCAATGCTACTGGAGTGACCTGTTTATTCACCAGTTGCCTACAGAGGCACAATGTATATGGACAAGTTTGGTGCAGGCAAGAGGACGTTCTCTTTCTGGTCATGGCTGAGCGAGCTGTGGCCATGACTTACTTCTTCCCCATGCCTTGTGTCCCTTGAAGCCGTCATTGCTAGTACCATTCACCTGGCTCAGTTGAGCTTCATGTCCTCTTCCTTTTTGGTAAACTGCCCCAGATCAGCTCCCATGCCAGTGCAGAGCTTGTGGTGACTTTCTGTCGCTTTCTTCTCCTCTTGCTATTCTCTGATTCCTTCTACTTTAAGAAAATCTTTCCCCTTTTCTGGCCTCTTCCATGGTACTTCCTTCTCTCTCTCTTCTGGTTCCTCTGTTCTTCTCTAGTTCTTAATAGACTGTTGATCTACTAAATCTAAGGCCTGGTTCATCAGCAATTAATACAAACAAACCCAAAAAGAATAGATTTCCCTTTCTTTAAGCGTAGGGAGGGCTCAACATTCAGACTGTACAATAAGTGAGGAAAAATAATTGCTCTAAGTTGGCAAGAAAAGGGAGGCAACTTCAGACTGTTTTTAGTATGAAAACAAATTGAACCTTCACATCCTGCCACACATATAATAGCAGGATTTGGCCTCCCCCCAAACAAGCCACTTGTTCTAAAAGCTTTCAGCCTTACACCATTGTAGAGAGCCATCTCCGGGCTGGAGGTCCATTCTCCTTACTTATTCTTATTTAGGCCCTTCTCATTCCCTTTTTCTCCTCCCAGTTCCCAATGCCCCCAACTCCTGCCCCTGGAGTCCACCCCAGAGGAGATAAAGAATTACTTAAAATCAGAATTACTTTTTCACCTGAAGAGATCGTCCTTTACTTTCTGATGGTTCGGACCTTTCCCTTCCAGACTGGGCTCTGAGCTTTGGCTTTACACAACCATGGAAGAGGCCATAAAAGGGGAAAGATTTTCTTAAAGTAGAAGGAATCAGAGAACAGGAAGAGGAGAAGAAACTTCTCAGGGTTTCCCCCCCAAACACAGGAGCAGTTTTCTCCAGAAGATGAATTCTTCTGCCATCCCTTTAGTAACAGCACATGTAGCAATATTTTTGTGTCTCCACCACGTGTGTTTTCTGTGAATTATTGTTATTATTTTGACTAGAGAATACAGTCACATGGTTTAAAATTCAAACACAATAAAGGGTATGCACAGAAGAAAAAAATCTACTTTCAGTACCTATCTACCTGCCACCAGTACTCTCCCAGAGGTGGCCAATGTTACAGTTTCTTATGTATCCTTCCACAGTGTTTTACACAAGTACAAGCAAACACATACATCCTATTCTTTCACTATTTTTTACTTTTCACACATGCTACATTGGTTTATACCTTGCTTTTTTTCGGTTAAAAATACTAATGTTGCTTGGGAAGGGAATGCCCCCATCTTACTACATAAAGAGTTTTATCTTTCTATGGTATTCAGTATATGGGTGTTGTATAATTTATTTAAATAATCTCCAGTCACATTTATGTGATTTCTTGTGTTTTTACTTTAAGCAGTGCTGCCCTGATAATCTTAGATATTCCATTTTGCACATTTTTTTTAGTATATCTGTAGAAAAAAAATTCCTGGAGATGGAATTGCTGGATCAAGAGAATGACAAGTATTCTAAATGCCTGTCTTTGGCTTGTTCCAAATTACAGTCTTGCCAGCCATTAAGAGACATTCCCCCCCCCCCCCCCCCGCCCCTCCAATAGAAAACATGTATTTCTAGAAAAACCCTCTAGGGCCATCTAGGAGTTGGATAGGAGGGAGAGGACCTAGTAGTGCCTATGAGGGAGATGGTTTGTTGTAGGAAAAATGGGGCAGGGGAGATTCATGCTCTTTGGGGATCAGAGGTTCTCTGAAGGTGAGGCTCTGGAAGAACCAAGAGCTCACCAGACACAGAGAGGAAAGTGTCTTGCTGGCTCTTCCTGGGAATTTAATCTGAAGAGATAATTTTGGGCCCTGGCTGAGTGAATAGGTTGGAATGTCATCCCACACCAAAAGGTTGCACGTCTGATCCCCAGTCACGATGTGTACACAAGGCAACCGGTCGATGTTTCTCTCTCACCTCTCTTTCTCTCCCTCTGTCTCTCTGTAAAATCAGTCTATATATATATATATATATATATATATATATATATATATATACTGATTTTACAGAGACATCAGTCTATATATATATAGACTGATTTTACAGAGACAGATTATATATATATATAATTTGGGGAGAAAAGCTGTATGCCTGAGGAAGTACCTTGCAGAATTACCAATAAGAGTAAGGAATAGAACATCATTTAGTAATGGTTAAGTAATGATATTCTATAGAAAAGCAAAGTAGAACAACAACAATAATATCAGCTATTGTTTATTAAGAGTTACTATGTGTCAACATTGGATTAAATATTATTTAAAACCCCATTTAATCTTTATACCAACTCTCTGCATAAGGCACTATTATTTCTAATTTACAGGTGAGAAAATGGAGGATCAAAGATGACAAGTAACTTGTCAAAGGTAACATAACAAGGAAGTGGCAGAGCCAGGATTCCAAAAAGGGGTGTGTGACCCCACAGCCTGCACTCTCCAATTCACTAGAATGCCTCCTCTCAAGAGCTCTGGGAGAAGTGTCATCGGAGATGAAGAGGTTACAGGTGAGAAAACAGAGGCTCAGAAGGATATATGGCTTTTTGGGGAGGAAATATAAAGAGTATATCACAACCTAGAAAAATGTTTGCTAAATAATGAGAGAAAAAGCTGGTGTATAATTGTTTAAATATGATGATCACACCTAGAAAAAGTAGAAATACTTGTGGGTGTGCTGCCTACCCACCCAAAATATTCTAGGGAAGTCCGGGGTTTAAAGTTTCTGGTGGTTGTCTGTCTTCTATCAGTGCTATGATCTGCCTAGGAAAGTTGGGGCATTATGGTTACTTTATGTACAGCTAAAGACATTTAAGTAGTGACTGTATTTTTAATACCATGAGTGTTTATTATGGAACAAACACTGTGATGTGATATAATAAGAAATACATATTTTGGGTTTTATGTTCTGTTAGTTGGTCTTTGACCCCTGTTCCTGACACAGAGTGCCTGAAGTCCTTGGAATTCCTTGGGTGATAGGAGCATTTATTGTTCTGATGAGGAGACTCTTGATGGCCTCCTGATAGCTTCATGGTGGGGTCTGGTCACCAGAAAGACCAAGCCATGATTAGAAACTTAGAACTTTCAGCCCTACTCCCCATCCTCTGGGAAGGAGAGAAGAACTGGAGGTTGAGTTAATGATTGATTGTGCCTGTGTGATGAAGCCTCCATAAAGTCCCTGAACTATGGGGTTCAGAGAGCTTCTGGGTTGCTGAACACACAGAGGTGGCACCCACAGAGGCAAGGAAGCTCCACGCCCCCCCTCCACACCTTGCCTGATGCAGCTCTTCCAACTGGCTGTTCCTGAACTCTGTCCTTTATAATAAACAGTTACCCTAGTAAGTATACTCTTTTCCTGAGTTCTGTGAACCATTCTAGCAAGTTTGGAAACTCAAGAAGTGGGTCACGGGAACCTTTGATTTGTAGCTCTTCGGTCAGAAGTACTGGAGGCCTGGACTTACGATCGGCCTCTGAAGTGGAGGTAAGGACAATCTTGTGGGACTGAGCCCTGAACATGTGGGATCTGATGCTATTTCCAGGTAGATAGTGTCAGAATTGAATCGAATTGTTGGTGTGGGAGAAACCCACGTATCTGGTGTCAGAAGTGGAGTTCTGTGGGAGTAGTAGAAAAGAAACTAGTTTTCCCTACACACACACACACACACACACACACACACACACACACTCTCACACTCATACTTCAGTGTTGCTACAGTGACTCAAACTTTTTCAAAATAGGAAACTCAGAAACCCCAAGGGGTGATATTTGATACAAATCTAGAAGGTTAAGGAAGCAGACATTTTGCGAGGATATCTTAGCCTTCCTAATTAATGTAAATTGATATCAATGTCTTGCCTATTCATTAAAAGGCTACTACAGTCATTAGATTTCTGTGGTGATTGTTTTTTAAAGGTTAGCCTTGACCAACTCCATTATAAGTTGTTTTCAGCAGTACAAGTGCACAGAACCAAGGCAAGAGCCTTATATTTATTTCAAACAGTGAAAGTAACAGCTATTAATTGGTTATTTCAGAAAGGTCAGTTGGAATTCCTTTATGTAATCATTTGTTCATCCTGCCTTCATGTTAGTTCTTCTCTGTACTCATTCAGTTCCTTCATTTATGCATTTATTCCACATTGACTAATCTGTTGTGTGCCAGGTTCTGTGCTGGGCACTGGGAGCATAATAGCAACAAGACTTGGTCCCTGCCTATAAAGGGGTTGCTGGTAGGGCTAGAAACATAAACAGATGAATATAACACAGAGTGATGTTTCATTTCAATTCCAGAAGTGTGTGTTGAGGTCTGCTCTGTCCGGGGTGCTGTGCTGGGCACTTTCATAGGCAGTAAAGAATGAGATATCTGGCCCTGCCCTTAGGCTAGTGGGGAGCCCACTAGCCCATAGGCTAGTGGGGGAGACAGGAAACAACCTGGTAACTAAATTATTACAAAACCATCATTTCTGTGGGGGGGTTAAACAGGTTTCTGGTATGAAGAATAAGAGGACAGGGGAGCCTATTTTGGCAGGATGGTCCAGGAAGTGCTATGATGAGTCATCACAGGGAACTCTGGGAGCCTGGAGGGGCAGCTAATATGACATCCTCTGGAAGAGTCAGGAAATGCTTTGCCAAGGGGCTTCCCCAAAAACGGAGTCTGAAAAGGTAGGGAAGAGTTAAATAAGGGAATAATGTCCAGATGGGCAATCCTGAGGCAGAACTGGGGTACAAAAGCTTGGAGGTGTCGAGATGACAGAAAGCAGTATCTGCTGGGGGGCCATGGGTAAAGGGTTCAGGTGGGAGGGGACAAGATGAAGCTGGAGAGAAAGCAAGGCCAGGTCATGTGTGGCCACCAATGTCAGACTAAAGAAGCTTGGAATTTGTCTGAATCGAGATAAAATACATAGCTTACCAACCCATGGTCTTGGCCCAGGAGGTTTCCACAGCTTTTCATGGGTCCCCTAAAACCAAACTGTATGGATGTATTTTATGCCATGACTAAGTTGTGTGCTTGAACAGAGGGAGGGGCCACAGGGTGCCAGCTGAAGATTTAACTGTTTTTCTTTCTTAGCTCCACGGACAGATGACATTAAATGTCCTTTTGGGGTAACTCACCTTTAACTACCTAAAGGTTGCTCCTTCGTTCCTGAAGGGGGACATGCCAGGCACCTGGAGACAAGAAAGGGGAGGTTTGGAGTCCCTAAGGGTGGCTATGCAGACACCTTTAGATACAGAGCTCCTGGCAGGCTGGGCCTTGGAGAATGGCTGTGTGAGAAACCGAGGACGGGAACTGAGAACACTGTCTGGGCCAAGGAATGAGGTTGCTGGACTGATAGCTCCTGAGACACCTGGCGCCTGCCAGGGGAGCTGGGTCTTAGGGTCATCTGTCTGAGGTCAGGGTCAAAACAGCAAGAGGGGTGCACAGGGAGAAAGCAAAACTCCAGATTGCCTGCTTGGTGTGGGCGTGGGCTGACTCTCCCCCCATCCCCGCTGCTGGGGCTGCATCAGCCTCTGAGTTTGGGAGCATTCAGGAGGAAAGGAAACCTCCAACCAGGAAACATTGAGCTTCTCCTTAATCAGGCATTGGGTTTCTCAAGTGGGTGGTTTTGATTTGTGAAAAAATAGATCCAAAGTGATTGCATTTGCACTGTGTGTTTTTAAAGACATTTTTACAAATTACAGATGTAAAATAAGGTAATCTAGAGTGACTTGACCTAGAGGGAAATGTTTTGAAGGACAGTTTACTGGAACTTATGAGACAAATGCCCTCTGGTTCTACTTGGGCAGGATATTCATGCTGAGGCCAGTGTAGCAGAACCAGGGACTAGAAGAACTTCTGGTTTTATGAGCCAGATGTAATTGCTCTTAGAAATTGTTACTTCTACTGTCCCATTTTGCAGATGAGACAATGGGGGCTGAGAGGATCATCCTGTAAGAAAGAGGCAGGTGGGGAGTGAACTTGGGTGTCCCAATTCCTCTGGTGAGGCTATTTAGACTCTAGCAAAGTGCTGCTACTGCTGAAACAATGGTGAGAAAGGAGAAGAGGAAGAGGTGGGGAAAAATGAAAAAGAAGCACAATAGAATAGGGAGAAGGGAGGTGAGAAGGAGCAAAGTACAAGAGGAGGAAAGTGGAGAAGGGAGATCGACTTTAGACTAAAACCTTAATCCAATCAGCAGTTATGGGTAGTTTTGTCTGTGTTCTGTTTTGTTTTTTTGTTTTATGAGTTTCTCCAAATTCCATTAGAGGTAACGATTTCTAAGAGAGGTTACCTCTGGCTCATAAAACCAGGAGTTTTTCCAGTCCCTGGATCTGTTGCAATGGCCTCAGCATGAATGTCCTGCCCCAATGAGAGCCAGAGGGCACCTGTCTCATAAGTTCCAGTAAACTGTCCTTCCAACATCTGCCTTTATGTCAAGTCACTCTAGGTGACTTGCTGGCCTGATTGTGTTTTCACTACAGCATGGAGCACAAGACATTGAAAAGCCCATTGTTCCGTGTTGTGATAATATAACACTCTGTAAATACTGTAGTTCAATGTACAAAGTGCTGTCCCTCCCACCCTGCTGGTAACCTACGGAGACAGCTGAATGCCTTCTGGTCTGCTGAGCCCAGAAGAGTGGGGCTGGGCTTTCAGAAACAGCTGGGCTGATTCATCCAGAACAAAAGCCAGTTCTTCCTGCTAAATCCCTGGCAGGCATGGGCTTCGAGGCCAGCAGGCCCCTGTGCCCCTCGTTGGAAATTTCTTGATCTGGTTCCAACAGTGTCAGTCTCCTGCATGAGAGCCTTTGACAACTTCCCCATCCCTCTAAGTCTGGCATGTTTTCAGCCCACCTCAGAGAGTGGGAGAGAGTGGCTTTGGAGTGAAATCTGGGTTCTCAGCTCTGCCATTTCCCAGTTGTGCAACGTAAACAAGTGACTTCACTTCTCTGAGCCTCAATTTCTTCATCTGTGAACTGGGAGTGAGAATAGTTCAATCGGAGGAATTTATTGTCAGATTTGAAGGAGATAATGCTCGGAGCAGGCACCCATGAATCCTGTTGTCCTCTTGCTGCCCTGTTATCTTCTTGCTGTCTCGTTTTGTCTTCCATAACTCAGTCCATGTACCCTGTACTCCAGACACTCTGGGACATGCTCACTCATCTTAAACACCTCCATGCCTTTACCTACAGGGTGCCCATAACCAGCTACTGTTTACAGAGTCCTTTCTATGCCCCACTCTTTGACATGGACAATTTCATTTTCCCACAACTCTTTGAGGTGGACACAATTATCAGATCAAGAAACTGAGGCACAGAGAGGTGTCCTCCAAGGCCTAGCTCATCTCTTTTTTGCAGTCTCCTTGGACTCTGTGTTCCCCAGCTCTCATCCCATCCCCACCTGATCTTCCTCTATCTTAATTCCCATAACACCCTATTGTAAATGTCTGTTTCCTTGGCCACAGACCCTGCAAAGATTGAGTCTATGACTGATTTATTTGAATGCCCTTACCCCCAAATGCAGGACCT